TGTCAAAATACTAAGTCTATGGTATCATACGAATTAGGAACTCAAATTACAGATGTTGACAAGCTAGAATATAAAAGAAGAACCTCATATCTTTTCTATTTACCGATATCGCTCATGTACTTAATCAAACACAGTGGCTCTGTTCACCTCTTTCCAATTTTGTAAATGATTCTTTATATATACTTACTTCAATATATGACATGTGAATAACCAAATGAAAGCTCAGAATGTCCCCTTAGTGACATTCTCATCCATTTTAAAATGTTAGGATGTCATCTCATTTTTTAAATCAAGATTTCAAGGAGGTAGTTTGTGTCTTTTTCTTTTAGACCGAGATACAGCTTAGTTACTGAGATTGATAAGTTATAGTGGAATTCTGTGATATTGATATAGTAATTTATGATTTTTTGGTTATTCATCTGTATATATAAACCTAAAAAAAATATTTCGTTTCATATCCTCTACGTGTGAAATTTCAATTGGCCAATTTCAATAAAACTGGGTAAAATTATGAAAATAATTTCAATGGCATAGGGTATCTGTGAAAATCCAAAATGGCCACCACGAGCAATTTTTGACCAAATTTGGCTAAGATTCAAATGCTTCTATTTCCAGAAAGAGAAAGAATTTTGCAAATAAAATTTGCACGTATACTTAACCCATAGATAAGTACCATCAGTTAAAAAAGTGGCCAATTCTGAGATGTTGGGTGTCATGCCCTTGGTTTATTTGACATGGAATGACCCTATAACTTTGTAATTACTCAAATGCTTTGTAACAAATGAGTGTAAACAAATAATTATAACATATTTTATTTATTACATAAACATGTACTGAGCCAAAGTAAATACCTACTTCTGTATTTTGGATATTCTTCAAGTAGCATAAATTTAAGTTCAAAGAAAAAGAAAATTAGAATAACTTCAGTTTATTTTCTAAAATAAAACTCTGGATAATTATAACTTTATCTTACAAAGTTTGAAAACCATTAGGGAATGAATAAGAATAAAACTAGAAAGTTTATTCAGAAAATATAGTACTATTCTGTTAACAACAGTTTTTAACATCTCCACACTAGCCACTGTATTGTTTTATTTGACGATAATGGTATCATCCATATCAGCTTTTTAAAAATTAGCTGTGCAACACTGTAACCAAATTTTCAGTATTTTTTTACATGAAAGAAGAGTGACTTCCACTTTAATAATATAATACTTTCCTCTATTCACAAGATTAGCTATTCTCGTTCAGTGCTACCCTCTATATACAAATTTTTCTTTATGCATGCCACAAGCCTTCTGCTTCCCCCCTATTGGAATCGAATGATTCCAACATGTCTTTCTTGTAAATCATCATGTGTCACTTCTCCACCAATAGGAGTGGGACATACTCACATAACACATGTGACTCCCTCTGTATGCCTCTACCAAAGTATTACTTCTCGTTTAACAGCAATTGTGCTCAGATGTGTTCCTTTTTATTTGTTTAAAGTTAAACATTCATCTTTAGTATACTCATGAAGTGGTCTTTATTTATTTCCCATTTTTTCCCCATCTCCCGTGTCTCCTATACCCATGACCAGCCAGCATTTGTCGGAGCTGGTTCAGGAACTATTATTTCAGCAGGCCATGAAACCTGTTCTATATTCTTCACCAGTTTTTTATTCCAGACTCGTTGTTCCCAAGAAAACTGGGAACTGGAGGCCTGTCATCGATTTGACCTCCCTCCCACCACCACCACTTCGATTAGCTGCCCCATTTTACCATGGAGTCATTTCTCACCCTATGGTGGGCTTTTTCAGGCACTAAGTCACATATGACTTTGGGAAGTGGTGTTGAAATTTCCATTTAGAAACTTTTGATAAACAAATACTGTATTTTCTAGAAATGAATAAAAACCCTATAACCCAAGCGCTTTCTTCTTGGGAATTAACCATATACCACAGCTCAAATTTTAAGGGATGCAATAACACTCAGGAGCAGAGGTTGTGTTTACACACAATTCTACATTACATATACAAAAAGATTTAATAAAATGCAACAAAATAACAGCACTGTATTTTCAAAATGCAGATGTAACAAGATTTATTGGTTCAAATTATCAAATATGTTTTGCTTAATGCAACAAGTGGACGAGATATTGGGTAGGTCGGAGAAAGGACTTCTCCAATTTGATTAACCAGCTCACTAGAAGGAGCTGATGAGTATGGTTGGCCGACTCCAGTTCAGAATGAGCCAGATGAAGCCAGTCATCCATATAAAGGTGGAATCACAACCCCAGTGCATAAAGATGGCAAACAAAAGCTCTGACCACCTGACAGAAAACATAAGGGGCAGAAGCAAGCTTGAAGGGTAGGGTGCAAAACTGATAAGCCACCCCTTGATGGACAAAACAAAGATACTGACAAGACTATGGTGATATAAGGATGTGGAGATAAGCATTGGTGACATCCATTATGGTCATGCATAAGCCTGGAAAGTGTTACTTCAAGCAAGAGTTTGAAACAAGATGGTAGCCATGAGCTTTTTGCTAGTCACACCAACCTGATTATATTTATTTTATTTTTATTATGATAATTTTGTTGGTATTTTAAAAAAGAATACAACTAAATCAAATGAGTTTAATTTTTGTGTGTGTACCTAATAGTATAGCTTTATTCATAATTGCAGAGTATATGTATGAGTAAATTACTACTTTCATAAAGTTGTTAGCTTGATATTGGCCAATGAAAGCAAATATTTTTGGTGCTCATACAATATGTTTAAAAGTGTTATGCATCTTTTAGTGAGGTAGTGAACATAAAGATTAGAAGCATACATTTTCACCTATTATACCTTTGTCTTAGAAAGGACTTTAATGTTTTCCACTCAATGATTAATTTAAATTCATTTATATCTCTGCAACATTAACAACAATGATTCTTATGATTTTTTCTGAAGTTGTAGTCTTGCAGGTTAGTAAAAATGTAACTCCAGATGTTATTCTATACTCTTCATTGACATGATATCCTGTCACTTTCCTGTGATTTTCAAATCTCAAGCATTGTTATTTGATAGTGGTAGGGTTATACAGTAGTTATTGAATAGATTACACCCTTTCCAAGGAAGAATGATTCTATAGTAAGATCCTTAGATGGTGTAGAACCATAGGGTTTTACAGTAGTTATAGAATAGATTACACCCTTTCCAAGGAAGAATGATTGTATAGTAAGATCCTTAGATGGTGTAGAACCATAGGGTTATACAGTAGTTATAGAATAGGTTACACCCTTTCCAAGGAAGAATGAGTCTATAGTAAGATCCTTAGATGGGGTAGAACCAAAGGACAACTTTTTGAAGAAGAGAGTCACCATCATTCACTGTGAAAGCAGAAACATTGCAAAATGTTCAGGACAGCAACAGTTCTGTCAACTGCAATTATAAGGGTAGGATTATGAAAGAGCCTTCCATTGGAATGAAAATGGGTATATCTCCTGATAATGCTGAAAAAAAGTAGCTAAGATTTGAAGTTACAAAAGGCCTATGAGTCAGAAGTTCTACAAATCAGTGGCAGTTTTTATGATAAATGAGGGCTGAAGAAACTGGAATTACCGAAATTTTATTCAATTACATATCTATCAAGTCCACCAATGCGGCTCAAAGAGAGTTAATTCCTTCAGTCTGCTTCAATGTGATCTTGATGGGTTATAAAATGTTTAACATGATGTGTGAGCTAAGATTGATTATGTCTTCCTTTACAGTACATTGTTACAATTAAAATTGCTGGGCTAAGAAATAGTGCATAATTATATCCACCAGATTATTGATGCAGGAAGTAGTTCCAAGGGCATCACAGGACCTGGAACATAACTATTATAAAATGCAAGTTATCTTTGGCATTGCATAGAAATGAAACAAACTTTTTATAATACTTGTATATTTTAGTGGGAAAAAATATATCTTTAAAAAGCAGTGTTTTGAGAATACATAAACAATTTATTTCTGGTCTTGAATGTGTTTTCAGTTGAAGCAAGTAGAAGTAATGCAAAAACTTAAGTATGAAACTTTAGTATTGTAAAATTTCAAAATAGTTCAGCTAACTAGAATGAGTTGTGCTAAGTTACTTCTGTGTCTCTGTATTTAAGTTTTTAAAGTATAAAATGAAAAGTTTCAGTTAATAAACATCATAGCAGTATGTAGAGAGAGGAAGCAGACATATATATTTTACCTGTTGAATATTAATTTTTTATTTATTTGATCAGTTGTTTACTTTTTGTATAATAGGAAGTGTTTGGTAGATAGAAGGTGAAAAAACTTATTGAGTATTTCTTTAAATACAAGTTACATACGGCTGAAGAACAGGAAGCTGTTAATGTACAGATTCAACAAGAATGTGTGGAAAAATTTAGTAGCCAAGGATTTCATCATGGAACCAGGGATTTTCCTCCAGTTGAAGAGGTTTGTAATTACCCCCAAACAAGAACCTGGTTGGGTTTCTTTCTTATACAGCACTACTTGTCTGAATATGCATAGAAATTCAAAACAAAAGAAAACAATGATAAAAAAAAAGTAATCAAACTAGGCTGGAAATAGTGTCTACATTATTTTCTCAAGCTACAAATAGTTATTTTGACTCCACTAAAATTGATAAGTACTGTAGACATGGAGGCAAAATAGGGAGTTGTAGCTTGAGAAAGTAATGTACGATACTATTTCCAGTGTAGTTTGTTTACCTTTTGTAGTCCCTAGTTGTAGGCTTGAAAATATAATCTTTGCTTTTTGATTCAACTTCTTTCTGTACTTTTTTGATGATCCATATTCCCATTTTTAAATTAACAATATTTAATTAGCTGAGCATTGTTTATTGCATTATGTGCTTTATGTCACAATCAGTGTACTATTTTCCACATCAGAATTTTTTGTGGTATCAAGCCATCTGAAATTATTGTCACAATTAGTATCAGCAAAGGAAAGTGATCAGGGTTTACTTCTAATTTTAAATCTTTGAGCTCTCTCTCTTGGTTTTTAAAATTTTGGAAAAGCCCTTGAATTTTTTGCCTTGATAAATGTATGAATCTTGTTAGTAGTATCTATCATAATTAGAAACCAGAAAAGTTTATTATAGCTGTAGTTAATGTATGTGTATAAGCAAAAGTGGAAGAATGCGTGTATGTATGTATGTATAAAATGTACAGTTTTTTTAAGAAATCCTTAAATCAATGATTCATCATACATATGATTTATACAAAATGCGTATTTTTACAACAAATTATAAATTATTGGTATTCATTTGCAGTTTTTTTCAATCTGGAGGAAATCCAGAACAAGTCGTTGATCTTCTGTCAGAAAACTACCAGGCTATTGCACAAACGGCAAATTTATTAGCAGAATGGTTGATTATGGCAGGTAAGCAACCAAAGTTGTGGGTGAAAACGAATTTTCAAGTGATACATTTATCATTCCGGAGAAAGATATTTGAATCTCTTTTGTATATGTTGTGCATTTTAGAATGTCAATTGCAATGTATATTTCAGAAAAGTCAAACTTGGATAATGAAACTTCATTCTTATCTGTATCATAGTCATTAGTTTACTTTAAAGAAAATGTGCAAATATAAATGTAAGTATCAGTATACCTCCTAGAGTGATTAGTAAGACTGTTTCATTTTCTTTAGTCAACATTGTACTGACCTGTCCTTTTTGTGACTCTGAAATTTAAGACTTTTTTTTTATTCTAGTTATTACATACCATTTTTATTGACAAAAATGATTGTTTTTTATTATCAATAAATCCACATATTCTTGATATTGTTTGATACATAAAGAGATAGAATATGTTATTGATTTATTCATTAATAACTGTTCAGCTGTGCATGACAAAAAGGAGCTAAATATGGGCTCAAATAGGAGGTAACGTGAAAGACAATTTGTATGCCATATTTTATGATTACCCTTATACATTCTAATTTTCATGCACAGTGAGGAAGAAGAAACAATAAAATTAGACATGACCTGTGCAAGTTACGTAGCACAGTAAGTTGGAAGACTTCTCTGATTTGATTTTTAAGGTTGAGAAGTTTGATTGGAAACTTTTATGGACTTCATCTGCACATTAATTTGAGAATGATATTTCAAACTGCTAGGTCTTCACTGATCTGATGATGACTTACACGAACAGTTTCAGTGAAGTCCCTGTGCATAAACTATCTCATAAATAACCTAAAAAGTTGTTCGTTTTTGTAATAACCATATATACTTATATTCTCAGTTTACAAAATAAACAAATGAAGAAATGGTAATAAATTTAGTTTCAACAGATTGACCACAAACAGTACCTTATGCTGAATGATCTCTTGGTGAAAACCATAAGGTATTTACCTACTTAACATTAAACGTTGATTGGCCACTTTGTTAGGACTCATTTATTTGCACATTAAATATAACTGATCATTTCATGTTTCAGGTAAATGTACAGATGTCACATCATTGTTAGTATGCAAGACAATGGGTAAGAGTAAGGCTCTTTATGACTTTCAAAATGGACATGATGAAAAGAGTCCATTCAACATGGGAATCACTATCAAGATCCATTTCTAGGGTTTCATTAAGAGAATGTAAGATTTATTACATTTATAAAAGGATCCAGAATGCTTATTGACACTTTTTCAAAGGTATAGAAAAATTTACAAATGATCAATTAATTTCCTTGAGAAATCTTACCAGTAAATACTCATTCATGCAGTTATGCTAGTCTATTTTCTTCACCTCTTGAGGCAGAAAACTTCCAGCTATTTCTTCAGCTTTGTATACCTCGTACTTCTGAAAGGAGATCCAACAAATATTGAAGGATGATTGGATAACACTTTTACACACTATTTGCCTATCCCCACCTTTGTTTCCAGCTGAAGAGTGGATGACCTCATATTGAACCTGTACTTTCCTTTTTAATTTTGTGATTGGTCAGAATTGGGTTTCTTATTTACATAAATTGTCTTGCATCTTGTATTGGAAACTACTGAAAATATAGTCAACCACTATGTTAATTAAAACAACCTTTGTCCCCTACTGAAATGGAATGGCTAAATTCTGCTTGTTGCTATGTGACAGTGGAAAAAATCTAAACATGGATGTGTATAATGCTGAACTAAAGTTAATTTTTACAAACAATAGGACAAGACAGCCAAGCACAATGTTAAAACAAATGATAGACTTGGTCAGATAAATTTGTATTATAAATTCATCCACAAGCTTTTGAGGAAAATTAAAAAGGGTTTCAAACTTTGATTTTATGTTTTTCAAGAAACCAGTGAACTTTGCTGTTTCTCTGACTGGTTTTTCATAATCACCAGAATTTATAAACAATAGCAATCAAAAGGGAATTTGTTTTCCACCACTAAGAAAAACTCCATCCACCAACCCATGGTAGGAAAACAAATGGAAAGATAGTTGGACAAGGTTTTGCACTGCAACAAATGTCTGACTGTATTCCAGTTGACAATTTCTTTAGAAATGATGAAAATTTAATCATTTCCAGTTTACTGTGAAAAGATTGTAAGAAAAAGTGAAATAAAAAAATCACATTTAAAGAGGAAAGCATGGTTTTGGAATGCTTAAAGTGTAAACTGTGGACCAAAAGCATATGATTGAGTTTAACCTTTTCTATCTACATATATATATTGTGGAGTATTCAAAATATGGAGCAAACTCCACACGAAGCACCTGGTTCTAATTGTGATGCTTTGACAGTGCAACTGCTGAAAGCAATGTAATGGCTTGAGGGAATATTATTATTACAGAGATTGGTTGTTTTGATTTCTTTTAAAGAGTAAACAGCATTCTAATACAATACTTTATCTATGGTCATATAACAGCTTTCCTTAATTTGTGCTGCCCTCTATATGCACAATTTTTTCTCACCACCAGCCTTAAGGCTCCAACCTAAAATCATTTGCTATAGCATTGTAGTATGCAACAAACCTCCACTTGTAGGAGTGCAACACACACTCCTAGCACAGCTGACTCCCCTATACTGTAAAGCACAATCATCACTTCTTGATTTTTTGGCACTCATTGGTAATGATGTGTATTTTTTCGCTTGGGAACTTTTCAGATTTAGGTGTTTTTCAGTGGAAGTATAGACAAAGACATTGTTTCACAAGTCAGTAACTTCCACTTTGTCTGGAGTGAAACAACACAACTTTGTTCATGCTAACCTACCAACTATATTGGCATTGGGTTTTTCTTTGTCTCTTGGAAGAGGTGATAGCTTTTGTACAGTAGTTGGTGGAGCCTTTCATGCAGACTGAGCCTTCTTTTGCCCCTGGTATATCTCTGCTTATGTTTCTTGTTTATGATGGAAGGGATTTTGCCTCTTCTTATAACCCATATTGTCTTGATTCTACCTCACCTTTTTTTCATGATTTTGAGACTAGGTTTCTCAAGTATGTTTTTACGTATTCAATTATTTTTACCACTACTTTGTGGTGTATATGCCTTTTCCTCATTCCTTTGTTACCTCATATGACTAGGCATGAATTTGTGTTGTACTGCTTTTCTTTGATTCCTAAACTCTGGATTCATTTCTTCAGATTTGAGGGTCATACCCTGTGTCTTTTGTTCATCTTCTTAGGCTTAGGTTTTTCCTACATTTGCCTTACACACACACAAAACCCTTTTCTGTTATTTTTCCTTCTTTAACCTTCTTTCCATGTTAAACCCACCATTCCCCTGTGGGGTTTTTGACAGATGCTCATTCACATAGCTTTTCTACAGTGGTCTGTTTATCTTCAATCTTAAAACATAAAAGCTTAGCATTGTTTGGTAATTTTTTAACATTTTGACTCATTATTTATAATCCATCACTCAAAATCTTGAAAATGCCAAACTGTCAGTATTGTTTAATATGGCCCGGCATTGCCAGGTGGTTAGGACGCTCGGCTCGCAATCTGCGGGTCACAGGTTCGACTCCCCGTCACACCAAACATGCTTGTCCTTTCAGCCGTGGGGATATTATAATGTGACGGACAATCCCACTATTCATTGGTAAAAGAGTAGCCCAAGAGTTGGCGGTGGGTGGTTATGACTAGCTGCCTTCCTTCTAGTCTTACACTGCTAAATTAGGGATGGCTAGTGCAGATAGCCCACATGTAGCTTTGCGCAAAATTCAAAACAAACAAATATAATTGGACAATATGCTTTTCCATATGAAGTTCCTATAATAATTATTTTTCTTTTTTCTGTGTAGTTCAAAAAGCATTAATGTGTCAAAGTGATTCTATAGTACAAAAATTAAAATGCACATTATTGTGTCCAAAATATTAAATATGCTTCATGAAAATCAGATCAGTAAAGTTGATATTATGTTTAATACACTTAAGTGTTAGTATACAATTTTCAACCAAAATTAATGAAATGAAATTATGTTTGTGTTTGGTTGAAATACTTTTTTTTTATTATTTGCTGAATATTTTCCCAGGTGGGTGAGCAGTAAGTCTGAGAGCTTATTGATGCTAAAAATTTGGTTTCAATATCCAAAGTATGCACAGCATAAATAAACCAATTGTATAACTCTGAGCTTATTAACTCTTTTAAACCCATAATTTGTTGCACGTTCTGCCAGAATTTGTTTCATGATGTCATAATAGTTTTTACCATACCTTTCCAGTCTGTTTATAAAAGGTCGATAATAACGTGGTTTGGATTCATTTTCAGCCAAAGAGATATAAATGTTATCAGATGCTGTCACCCTCTTATGGGTAAATTGAGATTTTTGGTCAGAGGCTGGCAGCATCTGCTCAGATTTAAGGAGTTAACAAACAAAACTTAATGAATGTGGATCAGAAAAGCTATGGAACAAAAGTAAAAGTTATTAAAGGAACATTTTATATGTTGTAGTTTTTTTTTCAGTTAATTATAGATTCTTTGTATCTATACCAAATCAAATTGTTCTCATCTAAGTATCTTGACTTTTTTATTGAAGCTTCTGTTCCCAGTTTTTTGTTTTCATTCATCATTTGTAGCACATGCTACTTAAAAGTAGATTATAATTTACACTTAAGAGTGAACTTGATAACTAAGGTGAAGTTTTTAACTTAACTATATCTCTTTCTTGAAATATTTTTAGCCCATCTAAGAAAAAGTATAGCTGTGAAGTTTTCATTTCAGGAATGAAAATATCTGAAGTGCAGGCCTTAGTGGAGGACCATTTGAAACAAATGGTCATCAAGCATTTTGATCCTAAAAAAGCTGATTCAATTTTCACAGATGAAGGAGAGGTAGGCTGCTACCTAATATTTTAATTGAAAGATATTGTAAACACTCCCAACACTTTCAGCCCGGGCCTCGTAACCATTTTGTGCTTGTTATAGTTTTCATGCTATAACTTTTAAATTAGTAAGCAAATGTTAACAAAATTTGGCAGTTTATCAGTAAACAATACAGTGCTTTCATATGCAAAATATCTAATTTTTTTCATCAAGTATTAAGGTTTTTAAAGCAATGTTTTTCTCATGCCTTTTTTTCTTTTCACATCTTGCCTAACTATCATGCAAAGTAATTTTCATTTTAAGATTAAACATACTTTTATGCATCAGAAAATTTTGAATTTTCACATGCGACATCTTTATGATGTCCAAATAGTTATGAAACATTTCTTAAGAAAAACTTTATATTTTATCTGTTATTTTCAGTAATTAATCTCTATACGGG